ATAAATGCAAAAAATCACGATTTACTCTCATTGTTTTTAACATATTAGAATTATAATTTCAGTATTCTCGAAAAATAACCCAGGAAAATATTATACGAATAAGAATCCTAATAATAAACTAATTTTCATCAATATTTTTCAATATCCTCAAAATATAGATAAATTTCTTTAAAAAAATATTATATAATTATAAATATAAATATAAATTTAATATGTAACTGTTGATACGTTTGTATCATTAAAATATTTACATCAAAATTAAAACAGATTGATTTTATTAACAAACAGTATCTTATTAAATCTATTCTTTTCAGCTGAAGTTCTTGCATCGTTCATTTTTCTTCCTTTTCTCTTCAATGTTGGAGAGAAGAGGAGAAAAAATGAATGATGCAAGAAGTTCCGCTGAAAAGAACAGAGCGTATGTCAACATAAAAAAATTATCTAACATTCTTCTAGATTTTACGTAAAAATGTAATCTAAAGATTAGTACTTTATAATTCTTTTATAATTCTTAACCCTTAGCGTACAAGAAGGAGTCACTAGTGACCGAACAAGTTTGTTCGTACAAGTTTCTTTGAGTTTTTTGGTAATTATAAATTATACTACATTCTATTATTTTCTAAAATTGAAGTGCCAATATTTATTCTAGAAAGTATGTTGGTGAATTTTTGAGATTTTTGAATCATTCTGAATAAAAAAAAAAACGAACGAATTCTAATGTCCCCCTTTTATACGGATGAGGCATCAAATTGTAGCTGGTACGGTTAATTTTAATAAATTGAAAGTTTTTTCCGTAAGTAATGATTTTCTTTTCTCTATAGAAAATAAAAAATTCAAAAATATCAAGGCGGAAAATTTTTTGGATATTACTATTATTAATAACAATCTAATTGAATTTGACTGCCATAAGCCTACGTATTTGGAAAGATACTTTAATTTTTATCGTCACATCCATTCTCACAAAAAAGAGGTATAATAATAGGCATGATAGAACGTTTTTATTATCGGTTCTTAAATATCACCAAAAAAATTTTGAACACATTATCAATACATTACTAAAAAATGATTATCCGATTGATTTAATTTTTAATATTATTAACGCACGTTCTAAAATTTTCATTTATAAAAGTACAAGATACAAGAAAGAAGCAAATGAAGAAATTAAGAAGGAATTGTACTTCTTGGTTTTTTTTTATATTACCATATATTCCAAAAATTTTAGACAAAAGAAGTAGTAAAATCTTTAACTAAATTAGCTTTTACTAGCTTAAATAAATTAAAGTTTGATCAAGGAATATAAAGACATCTTCTCAAGAGAAAAAAGAAAAAAATGTTGTGTATAAAATCTCATGTAAAACCTGCGATGCCTCTTATGTTGGACAGGAAGAAAACTTAAAACTAGATTGGCTGAGCATCATAATCACCGTAATAGTAACAACCAATCGGTGATCACAGAGCATTGAATTTAAATATGACTTCGATTGGGAGAATGTCGCGATATTATATGAAGAGTATTTTCTTAATAAACGTTTAATATCTGAGTGCTTTCATATATTCACGCAATAAAATAATTTCAATTTATGCTCGGACATAGAAAGTGTACATCAAATTATGTACATATTATTAAAAGACATTATTAAAAGACATTAAATAGTTTGTTGTCCAACATTTTGTTGGACAAATTATTTTTTATGTATTGACATTATTCTTTTTTCTTTTTATTTTCCTTGTTGACCTGGCATGTCTTATTATATTAAATGTATTAGTCATGTTTCGTTCGAGCTACGATCAATGCGTTTTTTAATTTGATATGATCTTTAGTGATAATAAATTTTAATTGATCCAATGTCGAGATGAATTCCTTCTATATCTTGGGGTGAATCACCAATTTTTTAATGTTAATTTGTAACTTAGTGGATAAAATGGTTTCGAAATATTTATAAGATAATTGTTTTAATGTTTTGAATAGATTACAACATCAAATTAATCTGTTAATCTGGTGGTGATTTTTTTCTTGGACATGAAGGGATTGATATTTTGAAATTGTATGCTGAGGATGGTTCCAAAGTGAACTGAAACATACTATTTTTTGGAAATAAAGATTTAAGATTGTGTATTATATTAATTATCACATTGACTCTCATTCGCCCTGATTTTTTCGGATCTTTTTTGTTGAATGAGAGAGTCCGTAAGAAGATTACATTATTACTATTTCTATATAGAACGTTGTGGATTAATACTAATCGCACGCACGCACGCACGCACATATGTATAGCGTCTTTCAAGAATTAATAATGGAATGAGAAACAAAAATCAGACCGTATTTGACGACAAATTTTATCCTTATTGCAAATATAACGTAATGAATATCAAATTGATTATCAAAATCTATCTGCTAAATCATGTCTCAAAATTTCAGCTGAGTTCTTCAGCAGAAACGCGGCTATAAATACAGGCATAAAAAGCACATCGAACACGAAGCTCATTGCAGTCGACGGCTCGATGGTTGTTTGTCGATCTTTCCGTCAGTCTGACATTTCTCTTCTGAACATGAACTGTTTACTTAAGAGCGATTTGACAAAGTCCAGTTATAATCAAAAGCTGATCTTGTCTCGAAAATGTAATGAATAATATCCACACGCACAACATTCGAGTAGACTTTCTTTTCCAGTTAACAGTTAAAATAAATTTCAAAGTATTGTTTAAAGCATCCGAGTAAATAAGAAAGAAGGTATATGAGAGAAGTCCGGGACATCCTTCTGCGCACAAGATAATAGAATTTGATAATAGAATTCGTTTAAGCATGCGAACGTTAGGAATACAAAAGAAGTAAACGCAAAAGAAGAGTCGGACAGGCTAGCGCATGCTTGATGCTTCAATCTTGTTATAGTTCGGAATCGTGACTAAAGTTTTAAAGTAATTGGCATTAGATATGTAGGTTAGTCGCTATTCGCACTGTTAATGTCTTCCTGGCTACTTTGCAGCGATAATCGATCGGGTAACGAAAAGGCCATCCGTTGGCTCGCTGATTGCTCGACTCATCGTCGCGATACCACTGACGCATCGCAATACAGTGCAATATCGTTAGCAAGGCGAGAGAGAGCTTCGTTACTCTGATTGCCGTGCTATTTAATCAGATTCTGTATTCCCAGATGGTATACGTTCTATAACACGACTAGTTATCTCCTACACGATGACAGATAGGAATAATGCTTGAAAAATTTTTTGGTGTAATCACGCATCTTAATTATCGCTGTTCCACTCATTACGGTAAATATGATTAATCGTTAAGATATAAGTATATATCTTATTTAAAAAAAAACCTGGTTTATTTTCTAATTGTTAATTAGCTATACAGCAAACATTTATGATAAATTAGTATTCAGAACATTTCTTAATGTTAAGGGAGTATTTTTGCTTTTAGTACAATTTTATAACCACTTTTTAGAAATTCTTTTTTTTTTTTAATATAACAGTCATAAGTTGTTACATTTATGTTTTGTGATATTTAATTCTTTACAAAATTCTTCAAACATTATAAATACGATATTTTTTGCATTCATCAACAAATTTATGTAAGCATGTAAAAAAATATCCGTTTACTGTTGTCATGATTTAAAATGCAAGCATTATCTGAAACAAAAAATTCAAAAAGATTAATCTATATAAGTAAAGCTCTCGCGTCCAACTTACAATCAAATTAAAAAAATTGATTTTTGCAAAAATGACAAAGGTTTGAATAAAATTTTGATTTTTTTTACTTACTCTTTTCTTTAAAAATCAAAAAGTTAGAATTTTTATTTGACCGTAGGTCGGACGAGAACTATGTTTATATAGATTAAAAATTTTTTTGAATTTTTTATTTTAGATAATGCCTGCATTTTAAGTCATGATGCCATTTTAAGAATTAACAACGTAGACGTGAACGTGATAAATGTCCTATTCCTTTGAGATATTTTTTACATGAGTCCCCTTATTTCTTAATACAAACACAGTACTTGATTTATGAGTTTCCTTGCCTTTTTGGAAATCCTAATATGCTTCTTAGAATTAGAAAATAAGATAAAGCTTTTTTCTAGAATGTTTTATATCGTAATAATATTTTTCGAAATATTGAAAAATATGACTATTTTCTTCGTGATATTATGTCCGAATTTTTTTCATAACATATATGTATACAATATATATTCATAATGTATTAAACAATATTCATAATTAATGTTAATTTAAAAAATTTATTTGAACTATTTTTTCGTATAAGATGTAATGATCTTTCGAAAATCCTGGAGCAAAAACTAAGGCATTTTGTGTCTTTTTAATCCTTAAGTTAGAACTTTTAATCCTTAAGTTAAGTTTGAACTATAAATATTAAAACTTGAAATTAAAACTTGCTACATTAAAAAAAAAAGAATTTCTAAAAAGAGGTATAAAATGGTAGAAATATAGAATGGTAAGTAAGAATACTCCCTTAAAATAACACAATTTATGAACAATTAACATAAAAGTAATTAAAAGTAAAGTTTATATTAATTTAAAAAATATTTTAAAATGTAAATTCTGAATAAATGAGAAAATATGTTAATTTAATTTATTATAAGTTAATAATTCTCTAATTAAATATTTCTCTATTAAAGTAAATTTTAGAAAAAAATATAATTTCACAATTTATTTACAATTTATTTACAAATGCGTTAGTGTTTTTTATGTTAATTTTTATACAATATTTATGTTATTTCCTAACATATTCAACTTGTGAAATTAACATAAACATTTATAAAGGTAGACGTTTGGAACATATATAAAATATATAAAATATTATACAATATAACACAATTTTTCCAAATGCATGTTTAATGCTAAATATTATTTATTATAATATTAAATAATTCGCGGAAGATAATTCTATTTCATTAAAATTATAAGAATTAATAATAAATTTCATTAAAGGAAGCAAAAATCGCACTTCAAAAACATTTATAGAATTGATAAGAGTGACTCACCAGTTCTCAGAAGCGTCCTCGTCGAGGATGGTCCCGTCAGCAAGTCGGTGAGGCAAATTAGACGTCGTGCGCGGTCGATTCCGGACCCTCGGTGGACCAACAACACCGGTCCTTGACAGGCCAGCCCGGAAAGACGCCCTTGCTCTATCGACTGCTCGAGTCAACGTTATTGAATCTCATTAGTACTATTAGTAGTTGGTTAGAGAGCGACGGTGTGTAAAGAGCATAGTGCTTTTGCATAAATTATCGCCGCAAGCAACGGTAATTATGCAACTATAACGATCGATGTGCGACGAACGAATAGTTTTTTATATTATCTATATCCTCGACGCTCAGTTAATATACGCAAAACACGGAGGATTACATGCAGGATGTGTGGAATACAAACGTTGTGTAATATCTGACACACGCGACAAATTTTTCACGAATTAACATGTGCAAATGCTATCCTCAATTATGGACAAATCATGTTAAAATTACAATTCGCGATAAAGTGCATATGTATTACTTGATACCGATTACGATATTATCATTCTTTTCTTCTTTTTTTACTCAATGTATAAAGTCTTTGTTCGCAACGATCGCTAACTTCCTTCTTTAAAGAAAATAAGATTTTAAATTACCGAGGCGTTCTTATAATTTTATTTATTTATTATTTGATCCTTGCCATTCGATTTATAATGGACTTCCAGTTAACATTTTCTATATATATTATACAATATATATTATATACAATATATATTATATACAATATATATTATATACATTCGTCAACAAAATTATCGCCTAGTAAATTTATATCAAAATTTTGTATAAACTCAAATAAACGTAACTCTGCGAAAAATGGTCGCATTTATAAGTTTTTTTTTCATTTTTTAAGGCTAAAGTCTGTACTTTGCGAAATTTTCAATAGTTTTAAATCTATCCTTATTCCTACCCTATCTTTTCAAAAATAAGGACTTTTTTTTTAAGAAATTTACATAGTTTGACGCTCTTTACGAGATGGAGTAAATTTTTCTCGTAAATGTCATAATAACTATCGTAAAATATGGCTTTTCTCTTACAAATTAAAAAAAAAATTCAACTTTATACAATTTTGCATAAGTAAATTTGTAATTCCTCGAAATAAAATCGTGTAAAGCTTAATATTTTTTTAATTTGTAAGAGAAAAGTAATCTATATTTTACGATGGTTATCATGACATTTACAAGAAAAATTTACTCCACCCCCCCGTAGAGTGCATCAAACTATGCAAATTTCTTAAAAAAAAAAAACATGTCCTTATTTCTTAAACGATGACAGATAGAGGCAAGAACAAATTCGAAATTCGTTGGAAGCTTCGTAAAATACAGACTTTACACTTGAAAATGAAAAAAAAAACTTTTAAATGCGACCATTTTTCGCGAAGTTACGCTTATTTGAATTTATTCGAAATTTTGTAATAAATTTATCTATGCGATAATTTTATTGACTATATTATATATATTATAAAATATTAACTTCTAGTTAATATTTTCTATATAG